CGCTCCCTTTAAGCTACGCGTGGACAACAGAGCGTTATCCTGGTTGAAGACTCGATGGATCAGAGTTATAATGGTAGATGGATAGTAAGATTAGATGCCCACCACATGATAATCGAGCACAAGATGCGTGACAAACACCAGAATGCTGACAGCCTTAGCAAGAAAACCGAGTTTTATGAAAGATTGGAACAGAGGCAAGCCAATCAGAAAGAAATCAAGGAAGGGTTCTCGTTTCTGGACAAAGAAACTTATGAAGCGCTTCCCTTGACGAGAGGGTTGGACAAATCTGAACATCCAATTCCAGGATATCCTGAGTTACCTGTAGGGAAAGCAGCCGAGTTAATGATTCTAGTCGTCTGAATTCAACGAGGTGTTGCAGGTTGATCACCAAAAGATATGAATGACAGACAGTGGTTACAATCAAGTCTTGGTCATGATAGATTACTTCATGAAGTATTCAGAGGCCGTGCCCTGCATAACTGCCTCAGCAGAAGAGACGTGCGATCACCTAATCAATACGTGGATAGCGAGACATGGTTGTCCGATGACGTTTCAATCAAACAACGGAACAGTTTTCGTGGGAGAACTTACGAAAGAGCTCATGAGACGTTCACAGGTAGCTCAGGCTCATTCCACGACATACCATCCCCAGACGAATGGCTTAGTGGAAAGGCAGAATCGAAAGTTAGTGTCGATGCTGAGGGTATATTGTTCCAGGTAGATGACCGATTGGGACAGATATCTTCCAAAGGTGATGGGAGCCTATAACAGCACGCAACACTCCACCACCGGAGTTAGTCCACACATAATGCTAACCGGAAACGAGAAGTCTTTGCCCCTGGCTTTCTTCTACCCAGAGTATGAGGGAAAGAAAACGTCTCCACAGGTCTACGTAAGGGATGTGATTAGACATCAGCAAGGGTTGAACGACTTGTGTAGACGGAATACTCAGCAGGCACAGGCAAGGCAGAGGAAAATATTTAATAAGAAAGCAACTGGTGCAAAAGCTTACTCGGTAGGAGACTACGTTTGGGTTTTTCAGAACTTTATACCACCAAAAGGCACGAAAAAATTCCTAAAAAGTGGAGGAGACCCTACATGATTACGGAAATGCACAAGGAGGGACGCTTTTACAGACTGAGTACTGGCCGAGCCGCTCACTACGAGAACATTAAGCCACACAACTCATCAACAGAAGACTGGTGTATACCTGCAGGCATGGAAGAGGGTAAATATCTGATGATGGACCCTGCTTGTGAGGTCAACGAGAAGGGCACCAGGGAAAAGAACGATGGAAATGAAGTCGTCAGGGAAGAAAAAAGTCCACCACTCGACCTGGGTCCAAACGAGGTGATTGGAGCAGATGAAGAAGCCTTACCCTACGCAGAGGAGGACTGTTAAGACCCCGAACAAATGGAGGTCCCCAAGAATTTAGAACCAGATCTTCCGTTCACGATACAGACTCGACAGAATGACAGGACATGATCCAGCAAGAAATAGAACCCTTACGGCGATGACTTCGTAGTGGACAGGATAGATCTGAAGAAGATAGTGGAAGAAGTGGTGGGTCTAGAAGGAATAACCGTGTCGCAAGACATCGACATAGTTGATGACCACGATGAGGAATGGATCGAGGACTGGTCGAAACCCGAGGTAGAATTCGACGACGAGCAACGACAATCCTACAAACAAGAGTTGACGAATCTATGTGTCTTGGAGTGGCTGAACGAAATGAGGTCGAACTCAAAGGATTCAGTGTCACGATTCAAGATGTAGATCGTGAAAGCATGAAATATATAAAAACCGAAAGAGAGGATCCTTCCTGGGCTGCCCAGGAAGGGCAATTACTCATTCCGGCGTCCAACCTCGACTTGATATCCAGTATACGATCGACATAGACGTCGATGGATATTTCTGTCCGGGGAGTGGGGGTAGGACTTACCCACACTGAAAGTTTATTAATAAAAAACCTAAGAATAGCAAGAGAGACAGATGATCTAGAAGCAGAAACAGGCGATGACCCTAAGAAACCGGACATAGGGAGGGTAGTTGAGTCATATTTTAACTTACCAAATGAATACTCAAGTAGCATAATATTGACAGATAGCGATTTCAAACTCACAGATAGAACATGTGCGATAGCAATCACAGCAGACAAGAGTTTAAAGATATTCCTTTGGAAGCGAAGACCAGGAACAGGGGGCGTAGCAGCCTTGCCTCCGGCGGCGTCACAGATACCGGGAAAGTACTTATGCTTTTTGGTGACGAGGGCGACGGAGTGGTACCCGGAAAACCTATTCTTGTCCTTGACGAGATTGAGAGACTTCCTTGTGGAAAGGGAAGTGAAGGAGCTTTCAATTGCAGTGTACGATCCGAACAGAGGACGACTGCATCCACGGGAGCTGTATGCACTGATACACGTAATTTTCTCTGATACTAATATACAAGGTTACTTACCTTAAAAAAATGCTTAAGTAGAGGCTGAGTTTAGGTGCATGCAGGAAGGCTTCATACTAAATGTGTGTTGTGTATGATATGTGTGTTATGTTATGTTATGTGTTATGTATGTTATTAAGACACTGGGTAAGAAGGAGTTAGTGACCATGAACAACCGAATGACGATCTTCGGAATAGATCCAAAGTTTGGACTGTCCAACCTTAGATCGAATTCCAAAATTTTTGAAACGAATTGATTTTAATAAATTTTAACATCAAAATCTTTTTATCTTACTGTTTTAAATAAATTTTGATATAAAACTAGTGTTAAGCTGACAAAAGCGAAATTTGTGACCTCTTTTCTAGATCCTGGTTGATCGTTTAATTACTCACTTGATTTCAATTCATCGAATCGATAATAGAATCAAACCTGCAAGAAAATGGACAATCTCAACTTGGAGGAATTGATGGACCTGGCAGAGGCATATGTGGGACCATTGGTAGATGCGATCTGTCGTCGGCTGATGGATCGAGACTTCGCTCTGGAGGACTCAGAGGTAATCATGTTGATGACCGCCTTAATAAACATCTTGGGGCATGATAACCGTGGGGACCGCCCCACGGAAATCTTACTGATGGCAGCATATGGAGAAAGAGGAGTACTAGACCGCCCGGACATGAGAGTGATGAGGTGGAGAAACGGGCTCTCTCAGGAACTGACTTGGCGAATGAGCCTGGATTGGGAAGTTCGAGAACCTACCAACCAGGTGAAATGCCTTTGCCCACCAAGCCTAGGCCTGGACTGAGGAGGATGCATCAGGAAATGAACAGAGAGGTTGTCTCGCCTAGTTCACAACTGAGAGCAGCTGTGCCACCAAAGAGGGCAAGAGTAGAAGAGGAGGTTCAAACGAACGAAGACATGCAAGCTCCTAACGGGACGAAAGAAGAACTGGAGAAGACCAGAAAGGAGCTGGACGAAATGACTAAGACCATGCTCAGTACGAAAGAAGATTGAGATATGTGGAAGAGACATTTTGAAGATTGCAAAAAGAAACAGAGCGAAGAAGTAGAGCGCTTCAGGCGGGAGTACAAAGAGCGATCAGAGCGGCTGGCGTTGACGACAGCCGTGGAGAAAGCGATACCTACAAGGAATACTCCTCGTGGGCAGTCTCCGTTGGAACTCTTGACGCCTCGAGAATTGAGTCTAATGATAGAAACGCGACTCCCGGCTACGACTGGTCGAGTGACAATCCCGGACCCAAATGATACCTTAGGTGATCCAGTCGTGGAGCAAACAGTGAGAAAGCTGATAGAAACAGCTGGACGATTGGTTGCTAATAGGAATGCGCTAGGTTCCGGGGTGACTGCACCCTATGGAACAATCGATGACACGGGCAGAGTACAACTCTCCCAAGACGTGAAGCCCAGAGAGGGAATTTTTGATGCAACGTTACCGACAAAGAGCTCTAGGGTCCCAGACAGAAAGATACGAGAGATCCCGGCGAAGAAAGTGTCCCGAGTGATTGACGTGCAAAAGCACAACCAGTTGAAGTATAGCTTGACAGGAGTTCCGGACACGAATACGAGAGCCTGCTTCAATCGATCGACTTGGAGCCCAGCAGTAAACATGCAACAACCGCCACTTGGGACATCACGTCTGATACTGGGGGACAGTTTGGTCAGAGTGCTCCAGAATTTGAGGACCTCCTGGATCACTACGGTGATGGCTTTTGGAGGTGCAACGATAGCCCAGCTATTTCGGATGGTGGAGCTGATGAACCCAGGGAGAATCCATAACGTAATGATCCTAGTAGGGACGAATAACGTATCAAGAAGCTCAGATGAGGAGGAGGCACAATGGGAGGCAATGATGGTGTGCCTCTTTACTACTCTCTGGCAGAAATTCAACTGCGCAGTATTGAACGTCTGCGCCGTACCCATGAGCACGAGAACGTTGGCAGCAGCAGGAAGGAGACATAATGAAGGAGTCATCAGGTGGAACAACATCCTGAGAAATCTTACTTGTCGGAATGCTGGACGGATGATCCTTATGGATATTGAACACGAGCTGAGAGCTATGGATCAGGCCAGACTGACTACTGACGGGATCCACTTTGATAGCATTGAAGGACAAGCCTAGTTGAACCGAGTCTTTCAAGATCGACTAGATGAAGTGGAAGTCGAACACTTTGACACGGCAGTGCAGTAGAAGGCAGAAACTTCGAATGAACCGGCAATCTCAACCTTCGTGCCTCCTAACTTAGAAACGCGATTGGGAACGGTCCCAGCCGTGACGACCTATAGGTCAAAAAGCTCCAGCGAGCCAGGTCAAAGAACAGATGTACAAGACCGATTGAGGGAAGCACCAATAAGAAGAACTATCAATCCTAGGTGAAGATTAGGACCTGTCAATCCGACCGCCGAGACGACCAGCACCTCTAGATTGGACACGAGATCGGAGACGACGAGCACCAGTCGAGAGGAGCGACGCCCAGATAGGAGCTCTTTAATGTGGTCGAGGCCCATACCTTCTTGCGTGTCGGAATGCTGGACGGATGATCCTTATGGATATTGAACACGAGCTGAGAGCTATGGATCAGGCCAGACTGACTACTGACGGGATCCACTTTGATAGCATTGCAAGAGGGACGTTGGCAGCAGCCAACGTCCCGGACCCGAATGACAATCCCGGACCCGAATGATAGGAGTCATCATTGGAGAGCCTGACCCTGCTCTCCAATGATGAATGGAAAACGATGACACGGGGATTGCAGTAGAACGCTTCAGGCGGGATACTGCAGCTCTCTACTGCAATCCCCGTGTCGTTGATGATGCGGATGAAAGGTTCTGTTTACAGCGAGCTGTAAACAGAACCCCCTGTTGCCAAGTGGAGCCTCATCTGTTTGGTTAAAAACAAGCAGATGACCTGCTTGTTATTAACCATGGAACGAATAATAACAAGCAGACTCACGCACCACCTCGAGAGCAGGAACCTGCTTACACCGCTTCAAGCAGGCTTCAGAAAGCGCAGGAGTACTGCGGACTAACTGCTCCGCCTCTCGCAGCAAGTCTCTGATGCGTTCCAGATGAAGCCTATGAACAGAACTGTGCTGGCTACGATAGACTACAGTAAGGCTTACGACACAGTCTGGAGAGATGGCCTCCTCTGGAAGATGCAAAAGAAAGGATTCCCGAAGACCTTGATCCGCTGGACTCAAGGATGGCTCAGCAACCGGCAGGCGTTTGTCACCTTCGAAGACAGCAAGAGCAAAAGGCTCTCATCAGACAAGGAGTCCCTCAAGGATCCGTCATTGCACCCCTGTTGTTCCTCGTCTACATCGACGATCTCGCTGAAGTGACTCCAGATGACGTGACGGCCAGTCTGTTCGCCGACGATGTTGCAGTATATGCCTCACGCACCTCCCTTCGCCAAACAGAGTCAGCAGTCCAGTGAACTGTAAACAAGATTGCCGAGTGGAGCCTCACCTGGAAGCTCACAATCTCACTGGGAAAGTGCAAAAGCTCCTTCTTTACTACCAACACAAAGGAAGCCAGATGGATCCCTACCATCACCATTGGAGACACCACGATTAAGACAGCCCAGAAACCCCTGTTCCTTGGTCTCCACTATGATAGACAGATGACCTTCACAGCGCACACCGAACATGTGACGAAGAAAGTTCAGAAGCGATCGCGAGTCCTCCTCCACCTGGCAGGCACAGACTGGGGACACTCCAAGCGACTACTCTGGTGGAGTACGCGGGAGCAGCCTGTCACCCCTGGATGTCAAGCACGAACCTTGAGAGGCTTGAGGCAGCCCAAAGGTTCGCAGGCAGAGCAGTGACCGGGCAGTTCAAGACGACGCCGAACGAAGCGGTCCTCCTTGACGTGGGCTTGCCCACAATCAAGGAAAGGTGCAAGTTCATCGCAATCAATGCTCTTGAGAAATCGATGCGACTCGACCCGAGCAACCCCAGACGCCAGATTGCAGAGAAGCCACAACACCGGCGTACAAAGAAAACAGACTGGAGAGACCATGCCCGAGACAAATGGAATGAGATATTCACAGAAGGTTGCAACCCTGAACCCTTCCCGGATCCCGTAGCGCCATGGACTAAACTCTCTAACTACGCCTTCACCTACACTAACGTAGAGAAACGACAAGACGATGAGACGAAAAAGAAGGCAGGAGAAGAAGCAATCAATCTAAACCATGACACCTACAAGCTCAATATTTACACTGATGGCTCAGCCCAGGACAGCAACAAGAACGGAGGAGCAGGAGTAGTGATAGTGCCCTCAGACCCAGAAGAGGGAACAACGATGCTGAGTCACCCCGCTGGCAAACTCACCTCCAGTTTCCAAGCCGAACTGACGGCCATCAACCATGCTCTAAAACACGTAACCTCCAACGACCACCATGACTGCCAGATCCGCATCATCACCGACTCGAAATCGGCACTTCAACGCTGTGAGAGCATCACCAGTGACCCGCGTCCCAACTCATGGCTGGAGAGAGAGGTCCTTGACTCCCTCATGACCCTCGGCGAGCGACAAGTCGGTATCGCCTTCCTGTGGTGCCCTAGCAACTGTGGCCTATGGGGAAATGAAGATGCTGACAGATGCGCAGCAAAAGGTAGCTCTATGTCACAAGACAACATTCCCTGGACTTACCACACAGCACAAGCGAAAATAAGAAGAAACATAAAGAACACCAGTGTGGAACACCCAAGATGCAAGAGAGTGTACTGTGACAGCAACTCAGTCCCTAAGTTCCCATTAGATGATGACCTGACACGACGGGAACAGGTTACTCTGAGCCGCCTTCGCAGTGGTCACCACACAGAGATCCGATACTGGCGTATAAAGATCGATGATGAAATTGAATCCGAATGCAAAACTTGCGGGCTAGCCGAAGAGACGATGGAACACATAATGGAAGATTGCCCTGCCATGAGGAACCGCTACCCAGAAGATTGGAACCTACACAAGATGACCACCAACCCAAGAAAAGCCCTGGAAATATGGCAACGCTTCCTGGACAAGATAAACCCACCGATTTCAGACAGAAACGACGACGACTAGACATCCATCACGCTCAACACACACACACGCCCAAACCTTCTCCCTGGCATATGTACAAAGAGGATCTGATGAATTTGAACCTTCAGACGGTGAGCTTTGCAGCAGATGCCATGAGGATGTTGAACGGAGCGAGATTGCCTGTCAACGGACTGTACTCGATAACAGGCGTGGACTGGTTAATAGCTGCTGGCATAAACTTCAGCTCTACAATGCCTTGAGGTTTGCCGATTTAGAGGGACTGCCTCGAACAATACAATGGGTCCAGTGAATGCAAGACCGTTACAAGATGTGAAGCTGAATCACGATGAGGGAAATCGAGAAGAAAGACCCGAAAGATTCTTGACAACGAGGGCACCAATCGGACAACATGTGAAGATGTTCAGGCAGGTAAGGGCACCCCCCAGGTCACGTAAAAGAAAAAGCGTACCCAAAACAAGTGAATCAGGAGGGTGATGGTCAGAGATACAGTGGCATGAAGGCAATCAAGAAAGATGAGACCATCTTTGCTGCGTATGACAAGGCAGAAATGAGGAAGGCCAAGATTATGATAGTCGCGAGTTCAGACTTCGTATATACTTCCAAGTATCTGTTTTGGCGTGATGTTATAATGTTGGCAGCGGTCGACCTGGACCTAATGCAATCTGTGTCAATGGCAATTGGAGTACAACGACAGACAGATATGCACCCAATAACAATCGTATTTGCTGGCATCAAAGAACATCTACACAGTAGGGGTTTCCTGAGCAGACTCAGAGAGCCTACGACAGCCGAAAGCGATGTGTGGCCAGCTATAAAGTATATCCTCGAATCAATGGGTCAATGGGTGAAGTAGTAGATATTCTGAAAGAGGGTGCCTTCACTAAGATAACACCGAGAGCCGTGTTTGCTCAATCTCCAGGATATGCACATCTCCCGGATGGACTGAAGTTCGTATGTGCGATGGTTGCTTGTTTCTCGGAAGGGAAATATGTTGTGATCATATATGCTCCAAATCGCGAAATAGAGATGGAGAATCTGAGGCCACTCAGTGCTGATTTATCTGCGGTGTGGTCTGACATCTCGAACGCGATGCGAGGATTCAAGAACCATTCACTACACATGCTAGTGTTAGACGAAGTGCTGGGGTTGGAACTATCCAACTTCAGTCGACAACTCAAATTGAAGCCAGGAATTGACGATGACCATCGAGTAATCGTAGCGATGTCAAACAATTTGCGGTTCCGAGGAATGGAAATAAAAGAGGAAGGAGGTATAAGAAAGAACTCCAAGGAGACCAGAGCTCACTTGGAAGCGATGATTTTGAGAACGAAACCAGAGGCTAACCAGTGGCTGCACTTAACCCCTCGAGTTGCAGCATTGGGGCGCATTCTTTCGAACAAGGCTCAGTGATGATCAGGAAGATCTATGCCTATTTAGTGAAGGAGGTGAACCTGGCCGAAAATGCTGAAGATAAGTCAGCCGAGTTCGTGAACAGAGTGTGCCAAGTTACCCTGGAAGCTTTCTGGACCCAGAAGGTGAGGGTAGAAGGAGGCTTTGACCGGACTGATAGCATGCTGGAAGGGCTAGGAGGCGGATGGACCGCGTCCTTCTTGGCGAAAATTTATCCATCACTTTCTCGATATCTTTCTCGAAACTTGAGAGGACCCACTTTCTCGAAACCCATTTTCTCGAAATTGGGAGGACTGATGAATTTGTCGCGCTACCCAGAGCAGATGAGAGAGAATGTGAGGAAATTCGACGTGAAGCGAGCTACGGATTCCTGGAACAAGAAAAGAGATATGAAACATACTCTTATCCAGTACCTCCTGCAGCAGAATCGCTTTGGAACAGAGAGGATGAAACAATCCAGAGGGAGGAAGACGTGCGACGTCGTGTTCGGGGCATGCTCCTGCTAACCGATCTGAGCTTGGCCATGAGGACCGATCCCTTAGCATTGATCAGAGGAGCCACAGAGTTCGTGACGGTCATATATGGACCCACAGTCACGTTTGCGTTCCCTGATGTTAAGGTTGAAGCATACAGGAGGTCGGTGCGGCATCAGAACCTCATATCAGCTGTGAACGGAAGTGCGCTGAATTGGTGTGAGCATCATGTATTACGAGAACTCATGAGCGAAGACCTGTTGTTTGCAAAGATATCGGAGCCAGAAATAACGGTCGTCAACTTTGACGAGCACTTCTGTGATCGTATGGGAGAAGTGGACAGAGGGCACATTGAAGCATTCCCTAAACTCTGGAGCCTAAGACCTTATGACAAAACAAACGGCAATATCACAAGCATTCCTCGACTGACCGCAGCGTACCATAAGGTGAGAGAAGAGACGAAAGGTGGGGGTGATTACAAGAAACTGCCGGAGGAAATCCGTGAATTCCCTTTGATAAGGAGGATGTTGCTCGGAGCAGTCTCCGCAGTGCAAACGCCTAGGTTGAGAGCTTTTGAGACTAATGAAAGGAGGATGGCAAAAATCTGAGAAACGATGGACCCGTGTTTTGTGAGCAGATATGCCGCAGTGCTGCAGTATAGGCAGTTTGCTTACACGGATCAAGCAACGAGAAGACAAATGAGCAACGCAGCGACTCCGAAGCCTGGGGGTTTGACGAGAAATGGGCGAAACTTGATCTAGCGTCTATGATTATGAGAGGCAAGGCTGAATTACCAGAAGCCTCCCTGAGCTTCACGAGTGTGAAACCGAAGCTAACGGTGGGAGGAACGCTGCAGAAGAGAACCTTGCTAGCACCCTTCGGCTATGAAGAGATCAAAATAGTTTACGGAGAGGAGGAAGATCAGTCAACTGGCAGGCTAATCATACCGAAATTTTCGGAAGGAGCCAGAGGTGAAGAGGAAGGGCCCTTAAACTCAAGAAAGAACCCAGAAAGAGATGATGGGCAGGGAGGAAGCCGTCGATCGGAAGAACCTATGCAACATGATCCCGATCAAGCCGAGAAAGAAGACGATAAGGCTTCGACAGGAGGTATATCCAGCCTAGACTTCAATTTCCTCGGTGATTTTGAAAGCTGGAAGCGACGACTGATGCGTTGGAAGCGACGACTGAGCCATCAGACGAGGGTACTGGAACCCCCGTCGGCCTTTATGGAAATGAGCCGGAATTTGCCGGAGAGCGGCTCTCCGAGCAATTCTAAAGATAACGAACAGAGACTCTTGATGGAATCACCATGGAGAAGAAGAATAGAAGGCGCTGCCAGAGTACATTTTTTAAGAGCGTTGCCCGAAGAAGAGTGGGAGCTGCAACATAGAGACCATGAAAATAGGACGGGATGTAAATGGATAGAGTGGCCTTCATGGAAGAGATCTGGACAGTAGTTCAGAGCTACGGTACCCAGTCTATGTTAAAACTAGGTCTCAACCGACCACTATTGCGGGAGGTCCTTGACAAACTCGACGAGTCTGAAGGAAGATTGGGCGAGTTGTTGATCGACTCAGCCACTGTTTAAAGTGAGGCAAACTCTCCTATCAAGATGACGCCGCAAGAAGACAAAGGAGAAGTAGTATATCTGTCAAGAACCCAGAAAGGATTGATACGATCAGAATTTTTTCTTGATAAGATTAATGAAATAAAGATGAAACTGGGCAGCAAGGTGATACTGAGGAAAGCGGGAAAGAGAAAGGTGGAATCTGAAATTTCGATAAAAACTGTCAACTCAGCGAAAAGAAAACGAGTCGAAGAAGCTGTGGATTTGGGACAGGGTGATGATCGATTGCCTGGTATAGACAGGATGTTGACTGATGTAGCGATGGTGCCACCCATTCTCATGGCAGGAAAAAAATCAACCGGTTACAAAACCAAGAGGAGTCACCGCACTCTGACTGGAGCGACGTTAGAAATAGAGATACTCAGCCAATGTGGAGAGAGTACCATGAAAGACTTACCCGTCTTCCATGAACCACGGAAAGGGAAGTTTCGTAGGACAACTAGTCCCAGTTTAATATAACCGACTGACAGTGTCGGAAACTGTATCGATAGATGAACCCGCTAGTGGATACATGGAGATGTTGGAGTTACGAAATTCGGCCAGAGGACACTTAATGGCTCTGGAAGACAAAAATGCCATGGAAAGTTATTTGGAGACAATGATGCGAGGCAAACCCTGAAGCAGAAGGCATACGGGACTCTGGTATCGTCTGGAATGCACGCAGAAACGATCGAGCAGTTGGCGAGCCTTCCATGGAGAGCGGTTGTGTTACGATACTTCGAAGAAGAAATGAGAACCACGCCGAAGATACGCGCTCTGATAGCAGTACCTTACGTGAGAACTGAGTTACAACTGAGGTTCGCTTGGTGCATGATTGGACTGACACGTGCGGAATATGATTCAGAAGAAAGGAAAAGATCGAAGGAAGAAAAGGTGTTCTTAATGACGAGTATGAGAGATCTGATAACCCAAGAGGAAGCAGCAATAGCGTGCGTGAAGCGGAGAGACGCTCTCTCTTTCATTCGGTTCATGATAGAACAAATTTCAGTGCCAGCACTGAGCACTTGTGTCAAGATGCTTAGAGAAGGCGACGAACGAGCGAAAGCCTTGCTCTTGCTAGCACTTCTGGATATACATCAAAGCAAACCAATGCGAGTAAAAATGAAAGAACCCGTGGAACTAGAACCCATGAAGAAAACGGACGAAATAAATAGATTCTCAATCAAAGAGCTGAGGCTCACTAGGGAATCTTTTGGAGCACTGCCAAAATCCAGTGAATACTGTGGACCGATCAGAAAGAAGTCATACAGTTACGTGTCCGGAGTCATTGGGATAGCGTACAACCCTTTCCTAAATGAAGACATACGCGATTGCTTCTTTGATTACGAGCAAGCAGTGTTGCTAAGATTCTGGAAGTCGAGAATTGCAACGATAAGAAGCGCTGCTACTCAGCGGACCAGGCTGGGACTATTCTTGGAGAGAAAGGTGGCTGCACCTTTATCGCCAAAATCTGACAAACGAGTAGAGTTTGGATTGGCATTCTCAGACGAACTGCTGAGAACGAGCTTG